TGCAGCCGAGTGGCAACAGCCTCTTAGGACAAGGCGGGTGCCTTCTGTCTTGCCACATTCCCTCACTTGACCCAGTTCATAGGGGTACATTACGGACCTGCCTCTCTGCCCACTGAGTAAGAGTTTCTTGTCCTGGGCTGCAGGCTGCTGGAGGGAAGGGGCTGAGTCTGGCTTGTTCTCCACTAAACCTCCTGTATTGAATGAAAAGTTTGGCCTGGCACATGCCAGGCACTTGATAAATATTGCCAAATACGTATGACTCCTTGCCACCTTCCCACCAGCTACTACAATAACTGACATTTACAGTTCCTGGGTTGCTCACTGCACCTTTGGTCCTGGAGTCCCCAAAGAGAGTCATCATCCAAAGCAGTCCTCCTGTGACACAGAATAATGTGTCTCTCTGTGTGTTTAGAAATCCCCCTGTAATACGTTGTCAAGCAACGAAAATGTTTTAGGGTCATTCCAACTATTCATTTTTGTCTGGAGAAGAGTAGAGTTGTTGTTTGTTTGAAAAAAAAAAAGAAAAAGAAAGGAGGAAAATCACAATGAGGGTTTGAAGGTGAATGAAAATGAAAAAAAGGAAGCATGCACATTCATTTTGAATATTCTCAGATCATATTCTAGTAATTTAAGCCTTGAGATAAGTCAGCTTCTGAGAAATTCTCTGCCAGAACTTCAGTTTCTCTATGATTCCACAGTGAAGTTCCGTTTTAAGGAAGGATGTGGGGCGGGAAGGGGGTATCTGACTTCTGTGTGGTGTCAACATTAGAAGTACAGTGTTTCTGTCCCCAAGATATTTTCTTCACTTTGTGTGTGGGGTAGGGAATAAATGGGAAGCAAGCTTTGGCACATCTTGCAAATATTGTGAAGCACTAATCATTAATATTGAGGGTAAAAAGTGCAAGGATCCCTCCCTATCACTCTGCTTCCTTTTGTAGAAAAGACTTTGTTTGGTTTCCTGTCTCTTCTTCCTCTCTCTCTTAAACCCAATGCAGTAAGACTTTTCTCTTGTCCCCATCTAACCTAATTCATTTCGTGATCATCACTTGCTGCTGAAAGTGGGGTCCGTGAACTGCAGACGACATCACCCTGTGCTTGTCGGAAATGCAGAACCTCAGGCCTTGTCCCAGACCCACTGAGTCAGCATCTGCATGTTAACAGGAACTTCGAGTGATTTACACGCACACTAAAGTTTGGAAAGCACTGGGCTAGTCCCTAAGTCCCATGAGAATGGGAGCTTATTTTCATTCATTATTGTAACCTCAGGAAGCTGAGATACACTCAAGATATATTGAATGAATGAATGAACAAATGCACTGAGCACCTGTTTCAAATGGGACTCCCAGCTGAGGGTGTGCAAGGTTGGAGAGAGGCAACACATCTGAGTCAAAACTATTCCCCCATATATTGTGCTAAGTTAGAGACTTCCTGGTATCCACAAATCCTTCTTTCAAAATGCAATTAATTCCTCAAGTAATGCATTCATTCACAACTTACTGTGGATTACTTAAATAAGATAATTACTCTAACATCTAACAGAATCAGCAAAACAGAGGGAATAAGAGTGAAAAAAGGCTGAAAACGTAGTAAGTGCCTACTCTCCAGTGGGCATTGTAACAGGCAAGAGGAAAACGAAGATCAATCAGGAACTTACAAGTTGGTGGGAGAAGGGGAGGAGCTTTCAGGGAGAGCCGAGAGGGTGCAGCACCCCAAGAGAAGGACCTGGGAAAGCCCCCAGAAAGTAAAGTATCAGGGTTCTCCTCCCTTTAGCAACCTGTGTTCTGGCCACAAAGAACCCTCTACTTTTCCTCTAACGGAAATGTTACCATCAATCTTGCCAACACCTACTCATCTTTCATAGCCCCCGCTCTTCCAGAATTAACTGTTCCCTCATCTCATTAGATCTGATCACACATATCAGAGTTCAAGGGCACATTTCACCCTCTTCATGAGGGGCTTCCACAAACTGCTATCCTGCCCTTACCTCTGTATCCTGTGCCTCAACACAGCACACGAACACAGTAACTGCCACTTTTTCCATTTCTGCCACCTTAGAAGAACACTGGCACTCACTTGAGCATTCACTATGTACCAAGCACTGTTTAAACATTTTAGATGTACTAACTCATTTAATCCTCAAAACAACCCAATTAGATTGGAGTTATCATTGTCCCCATTTTACAGATCAGAGAACTGAGGCCCAGAAAGACAAGGTCACATAAAGGAACGAACACTGTACTGCGTCATGGGCAGACAGTTAATGTTTCCTGACAAGAGCTGAATGGATGATCAGTTCAGAAGATGAGGAAGTCAAATCTGAACTTCACTCATGTGCCTGGAGCCCCAGAGGGCAGAGGGAAACCGAGGGCGTCAGAGCTCGCTGCTACGAAAGAACATTCTTCCCCACACCCATCTCCCACACCCCAAACCAAAGGTACTGCTTATGAGCAAGGGTTCCATGGAGATGGTAATTAGGAGAGGAAATCTGAGGGAGGACGTTCAAGACAGCAGCCCTTCCTTAAAAAAAAAAAGGAAAGAAGGAAACCTGATCCCTCTGGAATATCAAAGCAAAAGAAGGTGGGGTGCAGTGGATGGACATGGTCTGGGAACGTACTGCAGGGGCCCCAGGACACAAAGGTTCTGAACGACTGCTACAGCATTTTCCAGAAGCAAATCTATTTTTACCCATTTCTCAACAGCGACCAATGCCTCACTTAGCCTTGCTTAGAGAGCATGGAAGAGTGAGGATGCCAACGACAGGGCTGCAGCAAGCCTGCACCTGCAGCAGGACCTCAGCATCACGGGTCTGGCTTCTCATGCTGCTCAGCGTCAAACACACTCTGCCGTGAGAGGCAGCACCAACCTGCAGCTGCCCCTCAGGAAAGTTTGAAAACTGAGTTGCTTTTTGCAAGCCAAAGGTCCCGAAAAGTGTCATCCATTCTTCTCCTGCCTCCCTCATAACACTGTCTTCACCCAAACTCCTTGAGATGCCCTGCATCAGGTCCAGGACTTGCCTACCCTGCCGTGAAGCTGCCTCAAGTGGAAATCAGAGAACAAATGAAAGCAGGTAGGAGGCAAGGCAGGGAGCCCAGTGTTCAAGTCTTCCACTGAGAGAGAAACAAGTTGTGAGATTGAATCAGGGTGAACACACTGCAAACCACGGAGCCCAGCGGTAGACTGGATCCACAGGTGAGCTGGACCACCAGGAATTGTTCATCAGGGCGACCCCACAAAGAGCACCCAAAAAGTACAGAGGAAGCAACAAGTCACTCCAATGAGAGGAGGAAAGGTGGGCATTGGGGAACATCATCAACTTTAATGATATTTTTACCATCACTTTTATCCTCTTTCCTAGTGATCTCCATGATCACCACACTAAAAGAAGAAAAACGACACTGGTGAAAACCAAAAGATAGAGATCAGAAGCCCCCCAAGTCTGGCAGTCTGAAAGAGGAGCCAAGTCAAGTCGAGGCTCAGAAGGTCAATCAATGAACAGGGGCCGGAAGGGAGATCAGAAATTCAAAACCACAGGAAATCATCTGACATCAGGCTGCAGAGGAAAAACACACACATGCAAATTTCACATATTACAGAAGGTTAGACAGATTTTTGTGTCTGCACTCAAATGATCATCCCAAAAGTTAACATCTCGTAAACAGTTTACAAACCTATCAAAGACCTGATTCATTTTAAGTAAAAACTTGGTGTGTTTCTGAGCCAATGGCTACTAAATAAGTTATTTACATGAGTCTGGCTCAGGACTTACCTTTTAACCATGAAACCAAATCCACTCCCTGAAAACTGCTAGAAGCATAAAAATTGAGAGTGGAGATTCTTCAGGAGCTTTTCTCAGGTCTCAGGCACCCAGGCAAAGATTACCAAACTTTGTGACCACTGCAATCCCAACAGAAAATTCCTGGACAGTCACTTGCACACAGACACCTCATGTCAGTGACCCTTTAAAGGAATTAAAGGAAATGGGGCTTTTGAAAAGAAGCTGTTGAAAAGAAGAAATATTTTAAACCTGAACTTCTCTTATCTAAAAGTATGAGCGCCTTCATAATTTAATCTAATTTGGGGGAAAGGGAAAGAAGCAGTCCTCATTAGTCCTTGCTAAAAACCACAAAACTATAGGATCATATTGGCTGAAGTGAGAACTGTATTCCTTGATGAATGGAATGTACCAAGAGCCCAGAATTCCATCACAAACAAAAGCCTGCCCTTTACAAGTGCCACAGTAATCATTCTTATTTCAAAGACAATTGCTGACTGCACAGTGTAAATTTAAAGCACATTTGCAGAATAATTCTCCCCAAATAGTTACAACAGATTTCTCAAACCGCCCAAGGAATTGCAGAAACCTATTTCCTGAGGATTCTTGGGAGTCTGACAGCCAAGGGTGATTATTAACTAACGTCCTGTAAACAGTGGATTGTTTATATATATATATACTTCATCAGTGCCTGTATTCCTTTGTAACGTGCAATTATTTTAGGTACTTCTATCCCAAAAGAAAAGGCGTCTCTTGTCAACACAGAGGGGAAAATACTATTTGGTAAGTCCACATGGGAATTGTCTAAAAAATCTGGCCATTTCATGCAGTTAAAAAAGTGGACACCCAGCAGGGAACCCCAAATATAGTGCACATCCCCACCCTGAAATGTGTCTTACTACAACATATCGCTTTTAAAGTGTCCTAACCACACCAGGTCTCCATCTAAATGAAGCGTGCCTGCGGGACCACTAGAAAGGACCTGCAACTTGTCCAGAGAGAAGATGCGAATGCACCTCTTTTTACTTCCCCGCCCAGCGGTGCCTTCCCCGGAGACACGTTTCCGACAGTTCGCCTGCTGTTGCAGCAGCCAAGGGCGGAGAACATCGCAGCGCCGGCGCTGCAAAGACCTCTCCCTCCACTGCCGCCCCGCCAGGTACCGGCCCTTAAGGGCCGCCCTGCTCCTACTGAAACGTCCCCGAGGGCAAAGCAGCCGCCAAGCGCTTACCCAGGTCGGCCAGGCAGTGCTCAGGAAGGGCCGCGAGCAGCAGGAGTCCCAGCAGCAGCAGCGGCGGCGGCGGCAGCAGCGGTGCTTCCTGGGACCCGGCAGCCCGGAGGGCCAGCTCCGGTCCGGAGCCTCTCAAGCCCGGGGTGCACGCCGCTCCCCCGCCGACCCCACCGAGCCCGAGCGTCCCAGGCCGGCCCCTGCGCCTCCGCGCCGCCAGTCCAGTTTCCCTTGGGCCCTGGGGCTTCGCCTCCTGCAGAGCCATGGAGACACTTTACACATCCAGGCCGCTGCCTCGCTCCGCACCGCGCCGGGGAGCCCAGCCTTCGGCGCCCCGGTCCTCACCGGGCATCTCCGGCCATGGCTCGCGCGCTGGAGGGTGGAAGCGCCAGGCGGCGCGACTTGCTCGCTAGTCTTGCCGCGCCGGGGCGAGCTCCGGGAGCCGCGGCTTCAACCGTGCAGGAGCGGGGGCCGCATGGAGCTGACTGGGGTTCCCACGGTGCTGTCCCTGCGCGCGGGCGCGCCCCGGGCAGTGAGGGTGGGACAGGCGCCGCCCGGGGTCCCCTCCCCCGGGCAGCTCCCGCTGACTGAGGGGTCGAGGCTGCGAGGAGCGGGTGCTGGCGGCCGCAGAGCGCACTCGGGACCCTCCCTCCCACCGCCAGCTCCGACCTCTGCGCCCCGCTCTCCTCGCTTGCTGGCTCGCGCGGGCTCGGGTTCCGGCTCCGGTTCCCGGGCTGAGAGTGCTACTGCAGCTCAAAGCTGCGCCTCATTGACAAAGAAAGCACGTAGCCACCGGACCCTGCGAGGGAGGCGAGGGAGGCAAGGCAGGCAAGGCAGGCAAGGCAGGCAAGGCAGACGCGCGCGCGCGTCCTCGCGCTTAGCCACTGCGCGCCCCCCGATCTCGCGCGCCTCGCTGGCCGAGGGCCAGGGAAGGGGACCCCTCGCGGCCGTTCCTGCGCTGCGGAGGTCGGGATAAGGAACGTAAGGCGGGCTTCCCTCCCCATCATTTCCCTGCCGGTCCCCCATCTAGAGGAGGGGAGATGGGCAGGAGAGGCCGTCGCGTCCCAAAAAGGGAGGCAAATGGTCATGGCCAATGTGCTGAAGAGGCCAGAAGGCTCTTCAGCCTGGATTTTGGAAAGCCCTTTGCAGGTGGGAGGGCGCGCTGTGTGCTGTTTGTTCCCTGCTTCTCAGAGAGGCCGGTGAGCACCTGAGTGTCCAGTTTACCCCTGAGGAACTGAGGCAGCGGTGTCCTAGCTGCAATAATATGCTGGATTAAAACACATCATATAAATATTTATTGCAGCCACACTACGTGCAAAGCAGTGCACTGCGCATTGGGGAGACCAGGAGAAAGACTTCTTTAAAGTCTCTTTCCTCAAATAGGAGACTTAAGCAGTCACTACCCAGTGGGACAAAAGGCACTCCTCCCCCCCCCCCCCCCACACACACACAGTCTGCTGAACGGCCTCCTTGCTCTTCCCTTGCCAGGCTAGATGGCCATCAGCAAGTCACCTAGGGCGTCAGAGCTACATGCATCCCTCAGCCAATACATATGGAGTGCCCACGGCTTGCCAACTAGTGGACTGAGCCCGGGGCATGGAAGTGGTGAGCAAAAACACACGTCCCCGACCTGATGTTCAGACTGTCCATTCAACAGCGTTACCCACTGCCTGTTAAGAGCCAGGCTCTGTTCCAGACGCTGAGGACAACAGCCGCAAGCAAAACCTCTGCGCGCCTAGTGCTGACAGCGTAGTGGAAATAACACTGGCATGAAACAAGTTAATAGGTAACACGTCTGCAGTGATACATGCTATGGAGGGAAAAAATGAAAATCGGGGGTGCAGTGTTTCAGGGTTAAATGGGGTTGAAGGAAGGCCTCCCGGAGAAGGTGACATTTCAGCAAGGACCTCAAGGAGGTGAGGGCAGGAAGATGGGCCGGAAGAACATTCCAGATAAAGGAGACAGCAAGGGCAAAACACAGAGGCCGAGTATGCCAGGTGTACTCAAGACACAACAGTGCAGGACAGAAGTTGACACCCCATTTCACCCACGACACATATCTTTCACATATGAACTTTTCAGAAGTCAGATGTGTCTTATAATGCATCTAAAACTTACTGAAATACAGTCATGTCCCAATGGAGTTATTATTTTTTTAAGCTTGCTGTTCCATTGAATTAGTTTTGCTGTTTCTAAGAAACTGACGGTCTAGACGAGGCAATAAAAGGACTCAGAAAGTCCGTTTGAGACACTAATGAGAAAACCATCCTGTGGCTATGAATCAGGCACCACCACACCACGGGAGGAACGTCCTGGCAGCAAAGGGAGCGCGATTCCAGGGACAGGGTGGTGAGGGTGATGGAGGCAGGCTGCTGGGGCCGAGTGAGGCTGAACCTGCAAGGCTGCAGCAGCTGAGGTGTTGAGAAGCAGGCAGGGGCCGGAGAGTTGAGGGCCGAGTGAAGGAGGGGCGGAGTCTGGAAACTGCAAGCTCTGCTCGGTGCGGTGCCGGGAGCCGCTCGTTTGAAGCCTAGCACTCTATTAGGGAGAAACGAGAGGTAAAGAAGAGAAGGAATGTCGGGGCCCACTTGGGGAAGGCTTTGGACATATTTGGGCTTTTTCTCAAAGGGAAGGAGAGAGGGAAGGAAAGCCAGGAGCACCAATCATGTGCCAGGCTTGGCTAGCAGCGGCTGAGGACACGAGGGTGGGCGTGATGAGAGAAAATGTATATACCCTTTAGGACCACAGCCTTCTCCTCCCCCACCCCGCCCCAGCCCTTTGCTGCACAGACGGGGTCGGGCAGAAGGCACGCCTTCTTGAGTGCGGCTGGCAGGGTAATAATATGGGTGTAATAATTTATAGTAGTAATTTGAACATTTCACCTCAAATGTCCTATGGTGGGCTTGAGTGTGAGATATTATTATGCTACAGAATTACATGCTTATGATTTTCTGATAAAAGAAGGACATTATTTGTGCTGGACCCAGTAGACGATGTGGTGTTGATAGGACAGAGAAGTGAGCCCCACACAGGAAGCTGGAGGGGCTGGCTGGATCCGTATGGCACAGACAGACTGTTCCTGGCCTAAGACATGGAAAGATCCAGAAGGGGAAAAGGCTGCAAAAGAAGAGAGGCAAAACTGCCCCATAGCTGTGTTCTCCATGAGCATTTGGAGAGAGGAGAGAATAATTTTCAGAGCAACTCACCACAGAACTAAGAACAAGTGTGTGTCTCTGAAAGGTTTCTTCTGTGTGGTAAATGGGACCTTCCCTTCAACATTATTTGCCTGACTTAAATGAGATATAAATTACTTTTCAGTGATTTGGGTTGGTACACTGGTGTTTCATTTAATTTTTTTCTCCCTGATGAGACTGGCCTCCAGGTCAGGCACAATCCTTTTCCTCAAGAAGCCCACCGTCTAGTGAGGGGCAGACACTGAGAGTGACAAGTTGTGAGAATAGTAGAGGCGTGTGCAGATGGCCCCTCATTGTGGGCGCATGGGTGAGGGGTGGCCACTCCTGCCTGGAGGAGGCGGAGAGGTGCAAGAAGGTAGCATTTAACGTTGGCGTTGGCTAGGCACAGCTGATGGCAGGGTGGAAAGGCGTGGAAGTTTGCGACATTTTGCAAGTAAAGGTGAGGTGCCTGGGGAGAGTGGCACAGGGGGGACGTGTGGAGACTCTGCTTCGGGGCAGGAGCTCTGAGCTGGAGGCAGATATGGAGAGGCTGAGGTTGTGCTGTATCCTCACCCAGTAGAGATAGCTCTGGAGAGCGTCTCTGCAGGAGCAGGAAGCTTGGTGAGATCCCAGTTCTTGACTGATGAGTCTGCATAGAGTCTCAGACTTGACTACTTTGTTTAAATTCGGGCTCCGTCAGTTGCTAGCTATGTAGCTTTTGGCAAATCACAGATTCGCTCGCTCGCTCTCATCTATAACACAAAAGGATCAGAGTACCTACCTCACTGGGTTGCTTTAACGATTGAGTAGATACATGTCAAGCCTTTAGAAGTATACTTGCCACATCGCAAGTGCTCAATCAATCTTATATATTATATAACAACTATAAACCTTTTTGTTAATATTAGTCTATTAGAACTAGAGCTTCAAGACTTTCCCTGTGTGTGAATTCATTGTTGTGTAGCTTTAAAAAGTCGGTGCCTTTTGTGCAAAGCATTTTGTCAGGTGGCGAAATAATGGATCTCCAGGCAGTAGTCTCAGGCCCTCACCTGAAATTTCCGACATTACTGTAGTGGGGGAGTAGGGGAAGGTAGGGAATACCTGGGCCTCTCTTTCTTTTCTTTTCTTTTTTTTTGCAATAAACAGAAGAGTCCTAACCTCTGTTACTAACACTCCTTGGTGGTACCAGGCCCAGGTCTACACTGAAGTCCTTTCTGTGCCCAGGACTATGCTAGATCCTGGGGTTCCTACGGTGCACCAGGCCCCGCCTCTACCCCCACCAGCTCAGAACTCAAGAGCCACGAGAGGGAGACCCGTAAAGGCACACAGGCCACACCGGGCAGGTGCCATTGGAGCTGCAGTGCACAGGGCTGTGGGCACACACACGACAGCGAGGAGAGCCGGAGCGGCAAACCAGGGACATATGACATACTGAGGAACTAAAACATATCTGTATAAAACACAGTGGCCCCTAAAGTGCCATGAAACTTAAAGTGACAGAAATTTAAAATGAAACTCTAGCCCTGGCAGGTGCGGCTCAGTGGATGGAGCACCAGTTCGATTCCCAGTCGGGGCACGTGCCTGGGCTGCAGGCCGGGTCCCCAGTGGTGGGTGCGTGAGAGGCAACCGCACATCGTTTCTCTCTCATTCTCTTTCTCCCTCCCTTCCCCTCTCTAAAAATAAATAAATATAATCTTTTTCTAAAAAAGAAGTGTAACATAAACAACAAATGTCAAGGATATTAGCCCACTCGCAATAAATGCCAACTCTCAAGTAGCCAATGCCACTTTTCATTTGCCCAAACTCCTGTTTTATGAGAAAGTCCAATTAAATGCATCTTCAGACCAGATAAAATCATCACCCCGTTAGAGACAACATGCACGATAGCATCTCCCATTGTTAAGTGCCTGTTATGTGCCTGACATTAGACATGTTCGTATATTAACCCAGTCTTATCTGTCATTCCTTCACAATGCCTGATTTAAGCCATCGTTTTAATCTTTACTCTTACATTCATCAGTAAGCCTTTACTGAGCTGCTATTATGTACCCAATGCTGTGCTTACTGGAGCTATGAAGACGAGAAAGACAAAACCCATGGCCCTCAAGGGTCTCTGGACATAGGCATGGAAAAATAAAATCATAAAATGATTGTGCCATCAGTTAAAATGACATAAAGGAAGAGACATTGAATCTCTTTCTGGGTCTGAAAGGCTGACAGCGTTGACACCTGAGCTGGGACATGACAGGCTGACAAGATGGGAGCAAGGGAGTGAGCTCTGGAGCAATGTCAAGGTCGGAATTATAAACCCACAGGCACCTTCGAACGAGACCCAGTAGCCAACATGGCTCTTTAGAATGAGGAGGAACGCAATGAGAGATTCTATTGGTGAGGTAGGCAGGGAACAGAGCAGACAATTGAACACCCTCCTAGGAGATCGGGATGTTATCCTGGAGGCAACAGTCAATTATTTAAAGCTGGTGAGTGTCCCACGGCGACTCCAGGATGGATTTCCACGTGAGGAGCTTTGGAGAAACTGGTCCAAGACTCACCATGACCCATTTCACAGGCAGAACTCTACGTTCACTCAGGTGCATGTTTACTGACACCGTCTCCCTTGCCCCGAGCATCTATCTCCTTGG